TGATAATATAAAATTAATGTAATATATATTACTATATAAAGACATAAATTTTTTTATTAGGTATTTTGATACATCACCAATAAGAGGTATGTTGCTATAAAGGTGGATGGTGCCATAGGAATAAACATTAGCAAGAAAAAGTATGTTGCTAAAACTGTGGGTGGTACTATTGGAAGGAACATCAGCAACAAAAACTATGTTGCTGAAAGGTTGTGGACTACTCTCTCCGTCTATATTATTGGTGCCGGAAACCACGTATATTTTTTACCAACTTGGACCATGTTGGTGAAAGTATATAATCAGCAACAAAGAATATGTTGCTGAAAAATGGAAAACCACTCTCCTTCCCCAACTTTTACCAACACAAGCCACGTTGCTGAAACCATATTTTCAACAATGTGGCTTTTATTGCTAAAAATCATGTTAGATTCCGGTGCTAGAATCCGGTCATTTTTCTCCCAATTTTTAGCAACATGACCATGTTGCTAAAACCCTATCTTCAGCAACGTGGCTCATGTTGCTGAAAAGGGTGAGGAAATTCATCTCCCCTCCCCATCGGGTTCCGATGAAAGTTTTTAGCAACATAAGCTACGTTGCTGATATTTTTTTTTCAGCAACATAGCTTATGTTGCTGATAAATTAGCAACATGATTTTGATTGGTAATGTATTACCCACCAAGCCTTCTCCAACAAAACTTTCAGCAACCAAACCCATGTTGCTGAAGGACTTTCAGCAACATAGAAAGCACTTTCAGCAACATGCTTCCATGTTGCTGAAGATTAAGATTTTAGTAGTGATCAATTAATTAAATTTAAATCAATTTTTATTAATTTTTATATACATTAATTATAAAAAAATATATTTAGTATACTCTTATTCTGTACCTTAAATATACTACATAAAAGATTCCAAAATTTAATGGTGTAGATTGTTTTGATTAATTAAATTTAAATCAATTTTGAAAGATTTTTATTACTAGAAGCTTTGCTGAGAAGTGAATGAATATCAGCAGAAATTGTGGCCAAAATGGCAAGCTTTTTATACCCGCAATCATTTTGCAAAGCCATGGGCCATTGTTTCTCAGATTGTTGCTGCTATCCTTCTCGTCCTAGCTTTCCTGCAAACCTTTTATTCCATGAAGTGATCAATACTTATTTTAATACATGTCATATCATGTTGAGACACAAACAAAAATTGTCATGAGTTAGTGATATGTTATATTTGTGATCTGAGGACTCTTTACTTTCTAAGAATCTCTTATGAGGAATTTGGTTAGAATATAAAGTTTTCTCAGTCTCACTGCTAGGTATCTGAGTGTTTTGCCAAATGATATTTTTGGTTTGGCAGAGTCTGTAATGCATGCTATAAGTGGGGTTGTCTGCTGGATTTAGGAGCCTTCATCTTTTTGGTCATGCTTTGTTTAGCTGGTTTTCGGGGGATATGAAAGTGTTTGGGACTAAGTTGATGTTTGAGGTGTTATTACTGAAGACTATACAGAATAAAACTTTTTTATAGCTTAAAAATAAAGAGATAGGTTATGTGGTTTTCTATTAAGATTGAATATTAAGGTCTATGGAGTGCAGGGAAGTCATTGTTCAACATTGCAAGAATTTGAAAATTACAAGATGCTGAAACGAGATATGGGATGAATTTATTTTATTAATTTGTTCAGTTTTATGTGCTAAATTGTGATACGTTTTGCGCTTGTAAAGTGTCTGCAGTTGAACTTTTGTTTTAGGGTTGTATTTTGTTTTGGAATATTGCTTATACTCCCTAGTAATATATTTTTCATTTGGTTTTGCTGGTAAAGAAAAAAAAATACACTTTACTAAAGCTCAAAACAATGCTGGGAAATTGCCTCAACCAATTTACCAAATCAAACATCACCAATCTTAGTTTCCATGGTACCCTTCCAGTACATGAAGTTATTTACTAAAACAAAAATTAGCGTTAAGGGAGTGATGGGTTAATTATGATCACTTTTGGGTTTCAACTTGTATTAATTTCTAGTGTGCTCACTTGTAGGCATATTACATGCTTATAGAAACAGTAGAATGTTAGACATCTATACAAAATAAATAAATAAATCCTTAGTTACAAGCATCAAGCCACAAATACCATTCTAGGCATAGCTGATACTTGAACAGAGCAGCAACCTCCTAGAGATGCTTTGAATTAAAGAAAAATTGAATTGTATGATTTCAATTGAAATTTCTAATTTGAGAATATTTTATTTACATTATCGGATTGTCCCCTGAAGAACAGTAATATTTGTAGAAGTTGGTGAAAAATGAAGGGCTTAATTCAATGATTAGTTTATTAATTATCAGTTTAATTTTATTTTAGTATAAAAAGTTAATTTTCCTTTTAGATAGTTTACAAACTTTATAAAATATTTCAAAAGTCTATTATATAAACTTTTATTAGTTTTAACAAAAAAAAACAAAAAAGTTAAATTAAAATTAAAATAAAGTAGTTCCGGCCAGCAACATAGTCCAAATTATGTAAATTATTAAAGTATGTAAATAATTGTGGTTTTTAATTCAGAAGAGATTTGTCAAAAAAGAAAGCTGAAACAATATGTGATAAAAATTAACAAATATTATATAAGAAAAACTATGAGAGGTAGAGAGAGAGCGGGTGTGCTCAGCAACGGGCCATACGGACGACGGTCAGCAAGGAGGTGGGAGCCCTTCGGAAACCAAAGATGGATCAGAGATGGGCGGAAGGTCGGTTCACCGGCAAGAGGGCTTAGGAAGAAGCAAGACATTTGGGGATGTGATAGAGGGGTGTATAATCAAGCTGCAGTATTTTTCTTCACAAATTTCCCGGATGACTGGAGTTATGAAAGTATGTGGCTCACCTTCCGGAAATTTGGAAGAGTCTTGGCTATTTATTGTCCACCAAGGAAATCGAAATCAGGAAGAAGATTTGGGTTTGTAAGATTCTTAGAAGTTAAGAATGAGGTGGAACTGGAACGAAAACTGGATCAAATCAGAGTAGGGACAACCAAACTCTGGGTTAACAGACCGAGGTTCAGGATGGAGGAGGGGAGAAACAGAGGAGATTCAAAACCAGCTGAGAGGAATTTTGTCAAACCAGGGAGGTCATTTGCAGAGGTTGTTAAAGGGATCCAAGGGGTGGATGATAACAAAGGAAGTAACCTTCAGCAAGCTTCAAGTGCTAGAGATAGCCAAAAAATGCAGCAGAAGAGTAACTCGCTCAAACCACAAACGCAGGTATGGATCATGAAAAATAATGTGCGTGCAAGTGCTGGCCTGGAGTTTAATGTGAAAAAAGAGGACCTCCTATGGCTGGAAGGGTGTTATGTCGGAATTGCACATTCGGTTAACATTATCCCGACCCTGCAACAGAAGTTCTTCATGGAAGGATACTTTTCGTGTAAAGTAAGACCTATGGGGGGACGTTTGGTCTTATTGGAAGGGGGTGATAAAGACGAGATTAAGGACTTAGTGGAAACAACCCCGGAATGGCTGGGGCAGTGGTTTGAGGAGGTAAAACCCTGGTCACCTTCATCGGTTGCTCAAGAAAGGTTCGTGTGGATTCGATGCCAGGGTGTTCCGATTCATGCATGGGGGCCTGAGTTTTTCTCATCAATCAGGGCTGTATGGGGAAAGGTTATCTCCTTAGATGATAGCACCAGTAAGAAGATCAGATTTGACATCGGGAGATTCCTAATATCCACGCCCATTATGGAGTTCATCTCTAAAACCATGCCCATCACAGTAAACGGTATGCCATATACAGTCAAAGTAATGGAGGAAGAAGCAACCAATGGCATTTTTTCCATGAAGTCCGATCATGTGTTCAGAGAATTAAGTGCCTCAGATGATCTTAGCTCGGAATCATGGTCCCTAAATAGCGATGGCGAGGATGTCTTTGCTGAATCTATTCATGGCGGAGGATTCTCGAAGGAGTATGGGAGAAGTGCAGCTGGTAGGGTTGAGGATGATGACATGGCAAAGGCTGATGACGTGATAGATGACCATGGAAGAGGGCAAGCAGAGAGGTGGAGGGAGAGTCTCAACGTGGACATAACGGCTAGAAGAAAGAATTTTGAATTTGAAGATGATATTGACAGGATGATGAGTGTTGATGGTTCCAATATACAGGCTGAGAAGTTTTTTGAGGTAAGTGTTGGGAAATCTCAAAAGTCTCCTATCAGCAAGCCGGAAGAGATGACCGAGGAGGTAGGCTATGTACCAGATAGCCTGAGCATGCAATTAATGCAAAATCAGGGTCAGAATTCAAATTGTGAAATTGGTGATTCGATTGGGCCAAAGCATCTGAAACGGGCTATAGAGGAGAATTGGGGCAAAGCTTGCGGGCTGGAGCCTAGAGCTGGTATGGGAGATGATGAGGATTGGGCCTCATATTTGGGGCCCAATAAGGGAAACAAACCATATGTAGCTGGAGATGACGTGGAGATAAGTGAAATGGAGAAGGATAAGATTGAGGAAGATAAGGTGAAGCGGAGAAGCAGGGGTAGCTTGATGGCCGAGGTGGAGGAGGTGAATAGGAGAAGTAAGGGCAGCTGGGTACCGGAGGATGATGTGGTGAAGTTGACAAGTAGGGGAAGCGTGGTGCATGTGGAGGTCGAGGCTAATCGGAGAAATTGGGAGAGCTTGATTAACGAGGAGGATGAGGAGTCTCGGAGCTGCAGGGGGAGCCGGAGGCCCGAGGAGGAAGAGGCGAATCGGACAAGCATGGGAAGCGTGATGCATGTGGAAAGGGAGTCGAAATCGGGACCTGGGGGTAGTGTGATGTCCGAAAAGGGTGAGGGGAATCTGAGAAGCAGGGGCATGGTGATGTCCGAGGAGGAGGAGGTGCATAGCGTGAATCAGAGAAGAAAGGGTAGCTGGAGCCGGCAAGAAGACTTTGGTGAAGAAAACTCCTTTTGGCAGGGATTCGAAAGTGAATCGGGGCAATTGAAAACTTGGATGGGTAGAAATGAGAGGAAAATCAAGAAGCCAAAGAAGAAGAAATCGAGGCCATGTTCTTCGGTGTATAAAAACTCCAGAATTGTGGTTCAACCAAGGACAGAGAAGTTGCAGAATAGACGGAAAAAAAACCCAGATTTGGAGGAGAAGACTCCGGTGTTCTGTCCAGGTTCACAAAACCAGGTAGCTGGCGAATCAATAGCTGACAGTGGCATTGAAAATAGAAATAAATGCTTGCGGGCGGAGGGTAAAATCAGCAAGGAAATGAAGATATGGGGGTTTGCCAGAGAAATTGGGGTTGTGGATCGCGGAAATGAGGAAGAAATTTTGCAGAGGCTCGAGGCCATGGAGGAACGTGACAGAGAAAATTTTAGAAGATCAAAGGCCAGTGAGGCAGATATTGGGGGATTCAATGGTGGTGTTTTGTAATGATTTTTATGTCAATTAATGTAAGAGGTGTGGGTGGTCATGGGAAGAGAGCAGGGGTTAGAGAATTAGTGATTCCGGAAAAAGTGGAGTTCTTATCAATTCAAGAATCCAAAACAGAGGTCGTGGATCATCAACTCTGTAGAGCTCTTTGGGGATCGGAGGAATTCGAGTGGGTTGCCCAACCTTCAAAAGGTACGGCTGGAGGTTTGATTTGTGTCTGGAATTCTGAATTATTGAAGAAAGATAGAATTATTGAAGGGGAAAATTTTATTGGGATTTTTGGATTTTGGGGGGTAGCTAGAATCCCTGTTTATATCATTAATGTTTATTCCCCATGCGACCTTCCTAGTAAAAGAGCACTATGGGCTTCTCTCAAAAACCTTATTTCTGAAATTGGTGGGAACTGGTGTTTAATGGGGGATTTCAATGCAGTAAGAAATGATCAGGAAAGGAAGGGGGGGATGAGTTTAAGGAGAGAAATGCCAGAGTTTAACGATTTCATTAATGAATGTGGCCTTGTTGATTTACCATTAATTGGCAGAAAGTTCACCTGGTATCAACCTAATGGAGCCTCGATGAGTAGGCTAGACAGATTTCTGCTCTCAGAAGAATGGTGTTTGAATTGGGATAATGTCAAACAATGGGGTTTAAACCGTTCACTCTCTGATCACTGTCCAATTGTGCTCAAAAACCAAATTTCAGATTGGGGCCCTAAACCATTTCGGTTCTTTGATGCTTGGCTGGAATTTCCTCAGTTTAAAGGTATTGTCACTGATATCTGGAAGTCTACAGTAGTAAAAGGATGGAATGGGTACCGTCTGAAGGAAAAATTGAAGGAAACTAAAAAGGTGCTGAAAGAGTGGAGCAAGAATATGACAACAGAGATTGACTTGGGCATTCAAAAGAGCATTGACTCTATTGCCTCTATTGATAAAAAAGGTGAGGAGATGCCTCTGTCGCTAGAAGAGATTGAAGCCAGAAGGACAAACTTCCTAGAGCTATGGAAAAATCAAAGGATGAAGGAAAGTATGTGGCGCCAAAAAGCTAGAAAGACATGGATAAATGATGGGGATGCCAACACGAAGTTTTTTCATAGATGTGTGAAAGGAAGAAGAAGGAAGAATGATATATCAAGTATCCTGGTGGGGAATCAACGACTAGAAGATGTTAACAGCATGAAAGACGGTGTGGCTAATTATTTTGAGACATTGTTTAAAGAGGATGTGTGGCAACGTCCAGTGCTAGATGGGGTTGACTTCAAGAAGATCTCACATGAGGAGAAGGCAATGTTGGAAGCACCGTTTAGTGAGGAGGAAGTCAGACAAGCTGTGTGGAGTTGTGAGAGCACGAAAGCACCAGGACCCGATGGATTCAACTTCAAATTTGTCAAGGAGATGTGGGGAACTCTTAAGGATGACGTAATGGGATATATATCTGATTTTCACAAGCACGGCAAACTGGTTAGAGGGATGAACTGCTCCTTCATTGCATTAATCCCTAAAGTCAATAGCCCTCAAAAAATTGAAGAATTCAGACCAATCTCACTAGTTGGTGTCATGTACAAATTGATTGCGAAACTGTTAGCACGTAGGTTGGCTTCTGTTTTGAATGGGATTATTGGAGAGAATCAGATGGCTTTTGTCAGTGGAAGGCAATTAGTTGACAGTGTAATCATCGCAAATGAGATTATTGATGAAGCCCAGAAAAGAAAGAAGAAAGGATTTGTGTTTAAAGCTGATTTTGAAAAAGCCTATGACAAAGTTTGCTGGGAATTCCTGGATTATATGATGCTAAGAATGGGGTTTGGTCAAAAATGGAAAAACTGGATTATCGAATGTTTGAAGACAGCAGAAGTCTCAGTGCTTCTTAATGGCAGCACCACCAGGCAGTTTAAGATGCAAAGAGGTCTCAGACAAGGCGATCCTCTCTCCCCTTTCTTATTTTTGATTGTGGCTGAAGGTCTTAATGGCATCATCTCATCAACTGTGTCATTGGGGATGATTAGTGGGATTGAAATTGGGCAGTGTGGCATGAGTGTAACCCATCTCCAGTTTGCCGACGACACAATTGTGTTTGGTAATGCTTCGGAAGAAAATATTTGGGCTGTTAAAAGTATCATGAGGATTTTTGAGATGGTATCAGGGCTTAAGATTAATTTTGGTAAAAGTATGCTTATGGGCATCAATGTTCCGGAAGAATGGATGACTAGGATGTCTTGTATTCTGAATTGCAAACAGGGATCCTTTCCATGTAAATACCTAGGCATGCCGATTGGGGGTAGGCGTAGATGTATTGCCATGTGGAGTCCTATGATTGATTCCTTCAAGAAGAAACTGGCCAGCTGGAAAAATAGATTTATCTCTCTTGGTGGAAGGATCACGCTCCTTAACTCCGTGCTATCTAGTCTCCCTGTGTTCATGATGTCTGTCCACTTGCTGCCTAAAGGTTTGATCCTTATTCTTGATAAAATTCGTAGAAATTTTCTGTGGGGGGGTGGAGAGAATAATAAGAAGATCAATTGGGTTTGTTGGGAGAAGGTATGTAGAAGTAAATTGGATGGTGGGCTAGGAGTGAAGGATCTTAGAAAGTTCAATTTAGCGTTGCTAGGCAAGTGGTGGAGTAGACTAGCGGAGGGAGAGGAAGATCTTCTTTATAAGGTTATTCGGGAGAAATATGGTAGTAATGGAGGTAATTGGTTGAATTGGATCGAAGAGGGGAAACAGAAAGGGTCGTTATGGTGGAGGGACGTCTGCAGATTAGATTATTCATGCTCAAATAGAGTTGGCTGGCTCTTAGATGGCTTTAAACTAAAGTTGGGAGAGGGTATCTCTGTCAAATTTTGGGAGGATGTCTGGATTGAGGACAAGACACTAGCCAATAAATTTCCCAGACTCTTTTTGAATTCTTTAGGCAGGACAAAGAGCATTTCTCAAATGGGATTCTGGAGCAATGGTAGTTGGAATTGGTCATTAGAATGGAGGAGACCTATCTTCTCTTGGGAAGAACACTCGATGGCGGAGCTGTGGAGGATGCTGCAGAATATCCAACCAAATAAAGGACAAAAAGATCGATGGGAGTGGAGGAATGACCAGGGTATGTACTCAGCTAAATCGGGTTATCAAGTTCTATCCAACATCCACCATCAGAGTAGGAACAACTTGCATAAAAGAACTTGGTGCAGGTTAGTCCCTACAAAAATATGTGCCTTTGTTTGGAAAGTCCTTCAAGATAGAATACCCTCCAAGGTAAATCTGTATAAAAGAGGGATAATTCCAGATCTCAATCTAGCTAGATGCATATTATGCAATGAGAGTATTGAAGATACAAATCATCTATTTCTCCATTGTAAGTTTGCATATGCAGTGTGGTCCAAATGCCTCCAATGGTGGAGAACATCGTCTGTTAGAGCTGACAATTGCTATGCATTCTTTGAACAACAAGCAGCCTCCTTTAAAAATGCAAACATCAGGGCAGGATGGGATGCAGTCTGGTGTGCAACAATCTGGTCCATATGGAGTGCTAGAAATGAAAGGACTTTCAGAAACCATGACCAAGATGTCAATAGGATCTTTGAGTTGGTGCAACTGCGAACATTCCAATGGATAAAAAACAGATCAGTAGGGTACTCTTTTAATATATGTAACTGG